TTAGTCAGATGACTGATAGACACGGAAGGCTCTTGTGTCCGACCTTGACCGCATTCGATAAAACGCTCGGTTCTTTGATTCGCGCGATATTTGACATTTTCTACAGCTTCGGTTGCATTACAATGGCCTCAGTCACAATTTCTCCAAAGAGACTGTACAGTCCTCACTGACCCATTCAACCAACTGATTTAGTTCTTCTTCTTGTATCCGCCATGATACCCCTTTGTTCGGTTATGTTGTTTATCGAATATCCAGCTGGAAGCTGTTAGTATATGTATACCGACAGCAGCGGTGGTGGTTTGCCAATGGCAATCATTTTCATAAGCAACCAAAACAAGGCACTTTGTCTCTTCACCATAACGCTTTCTCGATGTACCGCTAGTCATTGTAATGCAACCGGTACTATCCACATAGCAACATTGATATTCGGACATCTTAAATTCATGTTGTGACATCTTAAACTGAAAAAGGTATAGGGAATCCAACCAATCGTACTCCATTCGGGAACCCCACAAAATGATTGGTTGCTCTGCCGTCAACCGTGACCGATTGGCTCGGGTCTGTTTAAATCCTTTGCAGTCCGAATGAACTAAATTCTCCATAAACAAACAAATATCCGTTTTGAGTGAGCTGCTGAGCGAGGATGAATGTTTTAATGGGGTGGGGTGAGTTGTTCTTCAGGAAGCCGGTAACATCAGAGAAGTTGCGAAAAGGGTTGTGTCTTGAATCATCGAACTCAGCTCCGTTCGGAGTAGATAGAAAAAAGTTCACTGCTTTTCATCTTTCTTGTGAATAGCTCGTTTGCACAACCTTTGGTGGTATCACTCATTCGGGAAATGTGCCGCTGTTGCGTCTAATAAACTGCTACTTGCGAACTGTAACACATCCAGATGACTATATAGCACTCCAAAAAACGTTCAATGCAGCCTAACGATAGTCAATAGCCAATGACCGGGAGTACAATGTTTCGCAATTCAAAGTTATTTTCATATGGCACACGACTCCTATCTTCTGGGGAACCAAATACTACCGCATGCCACTGACGTAAGGGATTTATCAGTTACGGTACAGGAGGACGTAGGATGTTCCGCGCACTGTGCCAGAGCATCATCTATGGCTCTAAAGCAAGTGGGACTGCCCAGACGTGTTTTCCGGCCGTTCGAAAGAGCACTGTTCCCACGCTTGTTATCAGCGTTCGTTCGGCCACACACGGAGTACACCGTTCAAGTACGGAATCCATGGTTAAACCGCGACAAAAAGGATCTAGAACGTTCGCAAAGGCTGGCAACAAAATTGTTAGAAGGTCTGTATAACAAGACAGGCCGAAAGACGGCAAATATTAGGACTCTACTCATTCCAATACCACCGATTTCGGGGGGACCTAATCTTTGCATATCACAAACTGCATTTACCCAGCCACCCTTGCCGTTCTATGCTAACTTTATCTCATAATGATCACCTCAGGGGACATCCACTAAAGGTGAATAACCAGAACAGCCACCTTGATTGCCGACATCACTCGTTTGCACTCAGAGTGTGCGGCGTATGGAATTCTTCTCCATCCGATGTAGTGTGTGCTACTACGGTTGAACTATTTAAATAGCAACTTGATAAAGTATTGGAACACTTAAAATTTCAACATCCGTGAGTGGTCGTGCAAATTATCACTATTAGTATTTTCTCTTTGTAAAGTTATTCAAAAGACTGTAAAACTCTTCTGGGGCATGATGATCTTCAACTTTGTTAGATCGTCCATGATGAAAATTTAACTGACGAGAATTGTCGAAGAAAAACCAATCTAATGTATTTTATCACCTTCAGACGTTTCATCGCAGATTGCCTATCATCCACATTTAACTTGAAACTATCTTTTCTTGTTCATTCGAATGAAAAAAACCTCCGCTATACACAGTGAGCTTAGGTCCGCGGACCGGAGATAGAATATCTATCTGTCGTGCTGGTTAGGCAGTTACCATGCCTGTCCTTTGTTGTTACAGCTGTTTTCTCCTATCGATCTTATGGATGCTTTCAGTGAATTGGCATACGAAAACAATGAATAATGAATAATAATGAATAAACAATGCAATTCAAGTACTGTGGCATAGATAAGGTTGCCACCATGATCTACCGAGCGTGATTTCGGCTGGTGCTGGTCTAGTCGTGCAATGCTTGCTCGATTGATTTGATCTGTTCAATTAGATATAAAAACATTGTAATTGGCACGTTCATGTAGAAACAAAACTGATGCTATAATAAGTGTGACTTTATTCAACAGCAGATGTGGGAAACAAAATCCCGTAGCCATGATGATTGTGTGGGCGTCGATCAGAGACTTTAGGGCAACTAGTTATATGCACGATGGAAAAACAACGGAAAGGCAAAGTGACGGAGACACGTGGACCTATAGTGTCACCGTGCTATTCAATTCATCGAGCAAAACAGATCAACTTTACTTTCATGACGGTTGTCTGTCTCAGTAATTTGATTGATCGAAAAGGTGCTTTAATCGCCAAAAATTACCAACTGGGTTTATATCAAGAGTCTGAGAGGAACTTAGGGGGTGCGGGGACATAGCGATGAGTTCAAATCAGAATCCCGGTCGATCGTTATGATCACGTGATCGATAGACGAATAAGCCATGTCCAATTCAAGGGGAAATCCGCGGTTTTTTTTAACTGAACGACGACGAAGTCACTTGAAAAGAAACAATAAGCAATGCTACACATGTTCGTCCTTAAAATAACGAAGCTGTTGAAATAATCTATCAAAGCCATAAAAAGCCAAACAGTGAAGGGGCTTACCTGTTCCAGTTCCTTATCAATTTGACTCCAGAATTGCCACATTAAGCTACCGGGAATATATAACTGGCTACTGGGATTTTCCGTGTCGACAAACACGATATCCAAATAGGCCACATAAGCGCATCGCAGATGAAACAGTGTGTTCTGAATGGCTGATGATCGAGCAGTGTTGAGACGTCGGAAAGTCGGATGCATGACCAATCGCACCAAATCAGCTAACCGCAACCGGTTTCGTGCCTCCGTCTGGGCCAAACCATTCCGACCCGCAGCGGTCAAACTAACCAGACGAATTAGTTCTAGGTGCGTGTTTAGTTTGAGTTGTTTAGTCCTGTCATCCATCTGGAGATCATCTTTGTCTAATTCTACCTGGTCCAAACAGTCCACGATTGTGGTTGCACAAAACAGCTGATTGAGCGTAGTTCCGTGCATTGAGTAGAGCTAAAAAGTGATTAATTAACATGTGAACCGTTTTTATCCAACTCATGTCAATGAACAGGGCAAAATAGTTCCTCCTCCCCCCCCCCCCCCCCGTGCTCTCTTCGAATAATGCATCCTGGCGAGAATTACTGTCAACATCAAATTGTTTTGTTCAATCTTTGTTTTCTTTCATTGCCCCGCAAATCACAAACGTGATGAAGATTTGAGAACAACGTGAATCGTTTAATCGAGGAAAGACTTATACTGCTGTTGGTTATATCTTGGCCACAGCTCTCACAGGAACTTAAATTGATCGATTGAATGGGGGAGCATCACGTGACGCTTGGGATTGAATGGGTCTATTTGAGTAACAAAGAGACAAACATCTAATTCCAAAACAATAATTACTTCAGGGTATTTTCTATGGTAATCCAATCTAATTGAATTTATTGTTATTTCAAACAGGTCTAAACTGGTAACAGATAGATAGTGTTGTGCTCAAATAAATCTGAGAAGACAACGTGGCAGAGGCCTGACGGAGAAACATCTAGTGCACTAGTACACTATACGTTGAGGATGTTTTATGCCCTCTTCGATATACTGTTCATGTTCGAAAAGAAATCAACGTTGAGCAATAGGCCCGGATACAGAGGGAACTGGTGACATCTTGTGATTAGTCGAACGTTAGAGGAAAAACGCTCGGTGCGCTTGTGGGTGTGGGTATGGGTGTGGGCGTGTATGTATGTATGTATGTATGTATGTATGTATGTATGTATGTATGTATGTACGTCGGGATGGACGGATGAATAGACTGCACCAAGCCAGTGGAGAAATAGTTCAGTAGCATAGTCTTATTCTTCAGCAGGAACCTTCATCGAACCAATCTATCGGAAGGAGCTCAACTATCAGCCCATTAGGGGATTTTTTTTAATACACAAAAATGATTACAGTAAAAGGAAATATTCGGGCAAGAATCAGTTTATTGATTTGGTGTTTTAAGGTAAGGATATTGTATTTTTTGGGAAAGATTGAAAGAGATTGTTCTTGCAAAAAAAAAACGATCGATTGGGATAGTTAATTAAAGTGAGTGGCTGGGGGGGGGGCGCTGTGGACAAGACCTGCCAGGAAGAAGAAGTGAGAGAGAGAGGCAGAAGAAGAGGCAAGTTTGGTAGAATATAACCCAAAATGATATCGGTAGACTGAGGATAAGGAAGCGACTGCTCACTGGTGAGTTAGTGAGCACAAGTTACATGCTGAGGAACGCGTCATTCATGAGACAAATGGTCTTACTTTGAACCCGATCAATAAAAAATATGGAACCGGACGAAGATTCACTTCACAAGTGACTGCGGTGTAGGACGAATCTGGACTTTGTAAAGCGAGAGGAGATGAATGGGAGTGAAGAAACGTCTGGCGCGGAAAACGAAGCCGATTTTACGGAAAATGCGAGAGGTATGTAAATACACATACATGATGAACGTAAAAAGGAAGAAGATAAGGAAAGCCCCAACAGGTTGCATGAATCTGTGGAATGGAGAATGTGGGAATTAAAATTTAAAGATAGTGAGAAAGATGCGTGTTTAAGAGAAATGGAAATAAGGGAAGTTTTACTCGGATTGAAGAGAACATAGTTGCGATAGCCCCAAACAGAGATAAGGACCAGATCAGAATTTAGGAAGAAACTAAGGGAGGAGCGGTCGTCACTAATACTGGATTTAGCGTTGCGGGAAGAGGCATAGGAGGACATAGAAGAGTTTAGGCTAGTGACATCGGCAAGGGCACGAATAGGACGTGTCACTTCGTGTTCAAGAAAACACTCCTCATCCCTTCGTATGATGGTTGTACAGTTGTTGCTTGCTTGTGAAGAAACAATTGGTGCAAACGAGCGGGCGGGGGTGGGGATGAAGGTGGCTGAACGACGCCAGCGAGGGAACGCGGATTTCCCTTTACGAACAGCACGACAACAGGCATGGTTAAAGCATTATGGGGAAAGAGGTCTGCCGGGTTAGTTAGACAAAATGGTTGGGCAAACTGAAACTGAAACTGGATAAATGACTAAGCACCAGCTTTGGGGAAGTGTGAAGTGAACATTTGAGAAAATGAAGATGATGCTGAAGAAGAAGAGGAAGAAAGTTAGGTTTCGAATAAAAATGGAACAAAAGGAGAAATGAAGAAATGTACAGAATCGATATTGTGGTTCAAGCCGCGAATATTAGCGAGTGCGACTGCTGAGAGTGAGATTGCGCTTGAGAAGTTATCCTGTTTGTTGTAGTATTCATTATGAGATAAGAAGTAACCAACAACCTGATCGTGGAACTTCCATTGGTAAGCCACATAAGGTCCCGATGGCTAAGTGGTGATACTGAGCCGAGAGTCGACAAAACATTCTATCACTGATCTCTCCCCACACAGAAAACAATATGTTCATATATATATATATCTTTATATATACATATATATATCGATTGTGGAAAATTGTTGCATATCTTCTTCGATGGAAATGTTTTTGATTTACACATACAAAAAAAGAACAATAAAATGGTACATTCCAGTAGCTCTTATCAATTCAGATTTGAAATTACAAGGTAGGCGACTGTTGAACAGCAGGCTGCGATCATTCGCAGTTCACGGAAAACTCGGCCTGAGTACACATGTGGGTAGCATGGAGCTACGCCCACACGAACAGCTGGAATCAACCTGTACACATGACACCCACGATTTCTTTTCCAACCCCTGTAATCAAGCGGTACCATGAAATCCTCTCTCTATCTGTGTGTTTCACAAGATTAGGGTCTATACACACATACATACATACATACATCAAAACACTATTACGGTTTCTAGCATTTCACTGTCCTTCTTCTTCGTCATTTAGAGGAATGTAGCGGCGTGAATTGAAGACAAGTGAAGCTGAGTTACAGGCGCACCGAGAGGGATAAGGAAGTGCGAAACATCCTCTTTACTTTTCTCCAGAACGGATAATCGATTTTCCGTTTCTGTTTGTCGATAGATCACCGATTACTGACAATTTCATAGTAGTTTGTCATCTATAACAACAATGAAAAACTGTGCTACGAATCAGTGGACGTGTCATCAGCATGCGCGCGATAGCTAGCCACACAGGCAATGTGTTCAATCACTAACCTCACCGGCGATTAGGTCTTGCAATGCACGTTTCGGTCTGGTCTGGCTGGACAGGATGACAATGAATAGCCGTATCCAGTACGGATGGGGTTCGTTCGATTGTAGACAGCGAAAGAAGTGATGTATGAGTTTGCGTGAGACACCGCACGATAGATCCGGATTGTTGTAGAAAATGGACGTGCACACTTCTGCGTCTTCGATCTGAATGCATGATTCAGATGATGATGATGATGAGGAGGAGGAGAAGAACAGGATAGGAAAACGGTTATTTATTGAAACCAAATGTCATACTTTTTCAATTTCAATCATGTTATGTTTTATGACATTGAAACTGAAATGTAAGCATATATGCTTAGACAAGTTACAAATACAAATCAAATGGGAAATAGTTATTACTTAAAATCATCATATCTACTACTTTGATTGAAATTAAACGCGGGATCATTGATTAGCGAAATTCTTTTCTGTAGGCCACACTTTAACCTGTTTTCCATCAGTCAAACCGAGGCATTCATTGATCAGTTTGGACAATAACAACAACAACACCAAATCCCGATCGAAATTTCGGTCACGTGATAAAAAACCAAACCGATGAAAGATTTTAGGGACATTCAAGCGTAAGCCTCAAACATCGTGTGATCCAAATCTGGTCGTATCAAACAGGCCTCGGCTTCATTCTTGAATTGCCGTATTTCCCAGGAACCCTCCATTACAGGTGAAGAACTGGTATCAGTCCGTGCGCCGACGGATTCCTTAATTGCGTCTATTTTCCGGGACCACAGCTTTCTCTCTCTCCCTCTACACTTTCCTACGCACCAGTTCTTGTGGTTATTCCGAGGACCTTTGAACTTGGATTTAAGGGATTAGTACGTTTTGTCATACGTGATATGAAGAGGAAAGGTTCGGCGAGCATCCAGCAGGGTAGCTGAGGTCGGCCAGTTCCATTGTTTTTGTGCGTTTAACCTGCATCAGGGTCCGACATTGTATTTATCGATATTTGTACAGATATTTCGATTTGCTTCCAGTGTTCGATGGAGCCATAATAGGCTGAGAAGCCAGAAGACCGATTGACTAACTGTTTGAATTCTGGCTTGACAGCATTCGGATGTAGTGCGACGTGTGAGCCGGACTCTGTCTGTCTGCCTGTCTTCCTACACGCTGATCGTTCCGGCTCATTTGCCTACTAAATTTGAGACAAAACGGAAATAGTTATAAAAACTTAAAACTGAAGAACTGAACTATTACACTGACCCGCTGGACAAAAGTAAGCGATAACATTTAGGGCAAACTTTGAGTGTAATACCCTTGTGGTGTCCGGTGTATATATGTATGTGGGGGGGGGTGTGTGAATGCATCTTCGGTCAAACCATCAGATTAGCTAGGATGCGGTAACGGAAACGCGGCCGCGTCTATTGGCCGTGCTTTTGCTTTAGCGTCCCGTTTCAAAAGAGGATCCGAAGGGGATTTTTCGGACAGTACGAGGCGGTAGATAAGGGGCTGATTTCACAGTGCTACTAACTTCCTGCTCCCCGTCATTCCCGTTGTGTGCGTGACCAGTGTCGAGAGTTCACGATTTTACTCTGAACCCGAAATTCTACTCGTTCAATCTAGCCGCCTCCGGGGGTGCAAAACTTATTTCGACCATGTGAAAATAAAGAGTTTCGGTTGGATTACGATTGAACAATTTGTCGAGCTGATATGACGGTATATCAAACAACAGTGGGGACAATGTCGGGGAGCTTTGCAGTACCCGGGATAAGTCGGGTATGTCCAACTCAAAGAATTCAGTAGGTTAATTTTTCTGTAAATGAAACAAGCTGGAAATTTAGAAGAAGACGAAGAATGATATAATGTTGAAAGGTTTTTGTCCAACCGTGTCATTCAACCGAATTTGAGACCAGCTATTCGTCTCACTGTCCTGCATATGGGCCTCCAGTCGGTTGTACTGACCAGAGTACTGCGGGCTGTCAAATCCGAGAAACTGGGCATGTTTTACCGGTATGGGGTCACACCATGACCATATATTTAATTGATTGAGTCGATCATGTGCGTTCCAATAGCTTTGCGAGCATTTGGAAACTGACTCACTTGTCCTCTAGATCGTATGTACACAGGGGTCACACTGTACATGTTCGGTCTAAATACTGACGTATATCATTCTGCACTTGACAATTGAAACGTGGTTTTGTTCTTTAGAACATTACGGCCGATTCAAATCGATTGATACAACCAGTTGACCGGATTAACGTGGTTTGGTGAGAATAGAAAGGATTGATCCATCCAGAATAATTTTTCCCTAAATATCTTTTACTTCCATGTATTAGGTGCACAATGATGCAATTTTCGGAAACAGGGGTGGGGGTTGGGTTGGGTGGGTNGGAGCAGTCAATCGAACAGTTGCCCCACAATCCACACAAAAAATGGGGCAACTCAGACGGTGTTTGTGGGATTCTAACACACTTGTCCTCCCGGACCGATAGGTTGGTGACCGTTACCATATGTTTCTCTCTGTTCAAAGAGGCATCTGAAGAGGACAAATCAATGGGACGAATTTCGCAAAAACGGTAAGGGTATATAACGTTATCGCGGACGCACGAGGAAACCAAGTTCAATGGGTGAATGAACAAAGTCAGCGCTGAGGACGTCACCACGTGATTTATCGATGACCTTGCAACGAATACCGCTGCTGACCTACCATCGCCTTGTGTCATCGGCATGAACCAAGAGTGCCGAGCATATTTCATTCCTATTTTCAATCTTACCCGTTTTATGTTTTCTCAGATTGGGGGATATTCTGCTTAGAAAATAAAATTGCTCTGTTCAGGGCAATCTAACACAAGTTTGTCGAGTTCGAGACAGTCAAACGGTATTGAAAACAGATTTATATTTTCTCACTCACATCAATACAAGGTAAAACTAAATGTTCATTTCGCTTGAGTCTGTGTACTGGTAAAAATCTGTATCCGGGCTATTTTCAGAACGGTTCTCTCGGGTACTTACTTTTGTGGTGAGGAATTGATCCACAACGGAATGCATGATTTGTTGGTTGGACAGGTTGTCAAAGCAGAATGTGCATATCAGGCGTTTTGCCAGGCGCAAAATTTCCTCAATCACGCTGTCAGATTCCTGCAAGAACCTCCCGTATACACACACAGAGGGGGTGGATCCATCGCCGGAAAATAAGAGGCAAGGAGAGAGAGAGAGAAAGTGTGTTTAAGTGAGAGAGAGAGAGAGTAGAAAAAAGAGGAAATGTGTATAAGTGGTTTCGTGTGTGTGTGTGTGTGTGTGTGTTTCAGTGTGATCGAATGAGAGAACGCGAGTGACGGGGAAAAACGGAATCTAATTAGTCCCCAGACTGATGATCACTGAGGCTCGATATCGTAAAAGTACAATAGGGGTCAGACGGCTAAATAATTGCTACTAGGCCTTATCGAAGTTTGCGTTTCGCGTCCCGGAGTAAAACTAACAAACCGGGACAATGAACTTTGAGTTCGATCGATTTCAAGGGCAACTTTGTGATGTCTATCGTGAGAGGGATATGAGTGAGTATCATGTGCAACCAATGAAACCACACATGCCAAAGTCTATCCACTTTCAGCTGGATGTTTGAATGATGTGAGCTACCCGCGTAGAGAAGAACAAGTATCAAGGTTGACAATGCTCAAACACGTTAGGCCAAACTATGTCTAACAATCTGTTCCCATTCGTGTGGTTAGCATGAGCACAATTTTGGGATCGAATCATAGAGTGGGAACGGACTGATATCATCTTGTTGTGAATGTTTTCGTCACTTCCTCTATGGCATGTCAGCAGTTCACTGTGAAAGGAAAACTCCCAACTAATGACATGTGACATATATGTATTGTTTAATGGATTTCATGATCGAATTATGCGATCGAAGTGTGGATAGAATATTGATCGAGCGTCGGTATCTGATGAAATGAGCCACTGGCTTTCGTTGTACTATGTTGAGGATACGCAATCAACGTCATTGGGTCTTGATTGAATGATTGCTGAGAACCCGTCAGGTCACGCATCGATCCGCGTCACACCAAAAGTGCTTCTGTGACGCCCAAAACCGAATCGATTCCGGATTGGATGACTGAGGCGAATCAGACAGCTGTCGTCCGATCGATCGTCCGAAGTATCAAGGACACGATCTCATTGGTGCGTCATTACGTACACCGAATTTACCAAATATATTGGCGTATTGTATCATGATCAATAATATACCCTGATTGTCTTTTTCTCAGTCATGTTCGTTCTCCAATTGTTGGAAGCTAGTCAACGGGCGCTGATATGGATCATACCTGTTGGCGAAACATAAGACTGTCCTTCATCAATTGTTGTTCCCTTTCTCGGAAGATCCATGCATCAGTATTGAGCTGCTTTCTTGTACAATTTTCTACAAAAATAGACCAAATGGGTACCCGAGATGTCGATGGTTTGGTGAGCTGAGGTGGCACCATAAGGCACGTTTTATAAGTTTTAACGACAAACAGGGTGGTTCATTCAGGAGGCCTGTGTATCGAAATGATACATGATCCGAAAATATCTCCATTTCACCAGCTTTGCTCTAATGGGACAGACGATTGACCTATAGTCCGAATGCGCGACAAATTTTCGCGGTGGACACCCGGGATAACGAAATTGACAGAGTGAGAAAAGTTTACAATCTAACGAATATTCAAAGCACTCCTAACTCAACGGTAGACAGAAAAAGATACCACAAGCAGAAAACATGGGAGTGGTCCTGCAACTGCCTTTCGAAGATGACAATTTCAGCCGACTGTTTACCAAGCGCTGAAAATCGGCCATTAGACTAACCGACTATACAACTGATCCCATCATTTTTTCACAACCGCTCGGTTACCACACCAAATCTAATTGTATCTATCAGTCCAAGTGTTAATACTTAACAATCTGAATCAGCAGGAAGAAGAGACAACTGCCTGACCGAGTATTCGAGCGTATCTCGCCCGGTCTAGTTTCAGAAAATAATGGGTGATAATTTTAGAAGCATGATGTCACCAATAACCCGTGGGGAACTCAGTTCGTCGATTAAACAACATCCGGTCGAAATGAAGCCCTGTGTCCGGCTGCTTGACGCGTTTTGGTATTCTGTATAACAAAAACAAAATTGGGGGTTTTGAACTATGATTGGGTGGTAGTCATTCATAATTACAATCGCAAACTGTACGAACTACGTGAATGGTTTATCGTTCTGGATCTCTTCTGGTAACGAGTGTGTTTGTTGCTTGATTTTGACTGTCATCTTTCTCCGATCTATGGTGGTACGTGTACAGACACGATGAAATAATCGAAGGTACATTGTGGAAAACTTGTGATTTTTGGCTTCTCCATTCAACTTCACTACGGGAAAACTATGCTTCCAGTTTCTGAAAAACATCTGACAAACATGAACCACATCCGTGACTGGGTCACGTGATATGAACTGCAGATGAACTGCAGCATTCAATAGTCCTGGTTTCAGTGAAAAGTCTACCGGTAGATCCAAACGAAGCACAGTCAAACAAATTCTCCAATGACCACAAGCACGGAAGTTACGATGATTGTCGTGCATGCATAACGAACAGTATGAACGGTCCAGATGAGAATCTGAAATTTTGATTGCACACTTGACTACCATGGTAGTCTGTTTATGAATGACAATATTTACTGATTGCGCTACACTCAGTATGTAATGCCAAATAAAAGAATCCCAACGTTGTACGGTTATTCAATCAATGACTGCTTACTTTTATTCTGTTTTGTTTTGTGTGTTTATAACTGTACTCTTACGTCTTTGGTTTTACTGTATCACGAGATTACAGGTCATTCTGTACCGCTACATTTGAAATGGTGCGTACGCTGGCCTCAATTTACCTAGTCGTAGGGTTCGTTTAAATTTATCGTATATCCTATTGACTACCCATTTATGTAATACAACGGTTCACTTTTGGAGATAAAGTACCTCAGCCCTTACTGTATTTTTCAGTTTCCAGTTTATACGATGGATTCGTCGTGTAAATTTGGCTTGACCGGAAACGCTGGGCAGTGTACTCACTGGACAACTGTTTCGACTTGGTTGAATCTCATCGGTGACAATATGAATCCGTCGACCCAACTGGGGATTGATCGATCTTCCAGTTTACGATTGTCAAAGCTAATTTGTTTCTACAAACAGTAAAACATTACTCTGATTGTGTCTCGCAATCACATTTGATCCATTCTCTGTACGACACGAAACACTCCCTAGATCGGATATGAGTGAACCAGGGTGCATATTTATTGAACTGTTAATCACAATGGACAAAGTTCACCGGAATTGAAACAGATCTGTGTGTCTCAGCTGTGTCATGTTGGTAGCAAGTGACAGCCTAGATTGTGGAACGCAGGTAGATTCANGGGCCCGGTGTGTAACGTTACGCTCGCTTTGTTCTGCACTGCACGGGATTCTCAACAGATGGTTGTCCAGGATGTGATTTGGTTGCTTTATTGGTTTGAACGGAGCAGTCAATTGGGTCATTCGGTATTTGAATGCCTAGGTTGAACTTGAATTTACCAGGATCAATCAATTTGCAAAAGCTCACAGTGTTTTATTTTCATGTGAAATTAGTCCTAGCTATCGGGTTGTTAGCA